GAGAGAGAGAGAGAGAGTGATGGTACTTCCATCGATAGGATGAGCAGAATGGAATGAATCTACCGCTAGAACATGGAAATATACACTACTACACGCGCGGGTGCGGGCATGTGTGTGTGTGTGTGCGTGCGTGAGAGAGAGAGAGAGAGAGAGAGAGAGAGAGAGAGAGAGAGACAAACAGTTTTCCAGCTCGTGGTCAGACTATTGGCTGTGTGGCTTCATTATTTAGTAATAAATTCAGGGTTGCATCCCCGCCGACCGCATTGTACCGACCGATCGGGGCTGACCGGTCGGCGGTAGCTGACGACTCAGAAAACAGTCTTCCTCTTTTTTTTTTTTTTGTTCCGACTTCGGGTCTGTACTGCGCTTGCTGAGTACAGCCCAAATCCGCTGAGAAACTTTGGTTTCGGGGTGGGGTTTTTTGGTGGGGGGGTGGGGGAAGGGGTGTGTCTGGGGGGATGGGGGGTCTTCAAGGGGGTTTAGGGGGGTTGAGGGGGTGCTGGGGGTGCCTGTTTCGTGGTTTCAGGGGGCTGTTCGATGGCACAGAGGGGGTTGAAGCATAACTGTTTCACAAGGGGTGTGTCGGGAGGGGATGGGGGGTCTTCAGGGGGTTTAGGGGGGCCTATTTCGTGGTTACAAGGGGCCGTTCGACGGCTCAGAGGGGGGAGAAATACAAAACAAAAAGGATTTAGTCGAGAGCAGCACAAAATCACAACTCCACAGCATTTTGCAACATCAAACCAGGCTCCTTACAGAGGATTCAGTCGACAGCAGCATTGCAGCACGGAAAAAAAAAACAAAAAAAACTCCATTATAGTCTCACTGTCCCGACGTCCATGAAGTCATCGAAAACACAGTCCACCCTGGACATGGAAGAAAGAGACAAGGAGGAAGAAGCAGATGATGAAGAAGTGGAAGAGGAGGGAGCAGTAGAAGAAGAAGAAGATGAAGAAGAAGAAGAAGAATGTTTCACTCCCTTTCTCTCTCTCTCTCTCTCTCTCTCTCTCTCTCTCTCTCTCTCTCTCTCTCTCTCTCTCTCTCTCTCTCTCTTTCTCTCTCTCTCATTCGCTGCTGCTACTTGTGCCTGTCTCCTCCGCGTCACTCGACGACGTGTCAGAGGAGGACGATGCGTCACTTGATGACGACACGTCGGTCGATGACCTCGCCGCGCTTCCACTTCCTCTGCGGAAGACGAAGCGTTGCTGCTTGCGGATTCATCGTCCTCTTGCACATTCTTCCTCCTCTTTGTGCTGGCTTTCTTTAGAACTTTTGGTGCCTGCCGAACAACAGCACGCTTCTCTTGCAAGGTCGCCGGCGGTGTGACTGTTCTGCGTCCCTTGCCTCGTCCACCTTGTCTCGACGGTTCCGCTGTCTCCTTCGGCTTGTTCTTCCCTCCTTTCTTCCTGCCCGCCAAACTCTTCACTTGGTGCACCAAGCTCGCGTTGATTTCGGGCGGCGACACTGGCTCACGTGTGCAGCTGCATCTTGTGGGTGGTCAAGTCCAGCAGCTCGGGTCCTCCTCCTGTACACCATGCCCTGCGATCCGTCCCCGGCCTGTGTGGGAGTGTCCTCGCTCAACTGCAGAGTGGGAGGGGTCGGTCCAGTGAATCTGGCCCAATCAGGAGTCTGTCCCTCGGAATCAGTCCTCATGGGGGACATCGCAGCCAGGTGTTTCTGGAAGTCTGTCTTGGAGCCTCTTGCAGCAATGGGGGCCACGTGTTGCAACAAGGAGGCGAATCTGTCAGCCAGCGGCAACCTTGGGTCCGGAGTGGAGAACACATCGCCGCCGGTGCAATGGGTGTCCTCCGCTGCTCCAGGGACCGGGTCGTCCTTGTCCGCACCTGTGTCTCCATCCTCGTGTTCAGCAGCACCGGGAACCAGAACGTCCATAGACACACCAAAGTCTCCAACATCCCCCGCAGCAGCACTGTCCTCGTCAACATCCGTCGATCCTTCGCATGTCGCCCCGCAGCCTGTGCGTAGTTCCTCGACCGCAGCTCACCAGTGAGAAGTGTGTTGCGCGCCCAAAACTGTGCTGGTGCCCTGAACTGCAGCCACACCACCGGCCGCGCAGTTGCGCAGTCGTGTACAGGCACCAACGTCGCCCATCACTGACACCGAAGCAGCCGCCGAAGGCCCGCCGGATGCAGGGCCAGCCAGTGGCGTGATGTCGACATCCTTTGCGGAACATGACCTGCCGCCCGACCGCCTGCTAAGCCCCTTGTCTGTGAGCCGCACTTCAAGTAACTCATCATCACCATCGTTGTCGTCTGTGTCGTCCTCCTCCTCATCAACAGCAGCAGCGGTCTTCCCGCGGTCGTCAACCGCGAGACGGCGAGGGCGGTAGGAAACATCAAGGAGCCACGCCCTGTCATCCACCCTCTCCTCCCGAATCTCCCGCACGTCGAATCTGGTGCTCTTCGATCTGCGCCCTCGAGATTTCGACCAGTTGGCAGCCCTCCTCTTCACCTCTGCGGGGTCGTACCCCCCGTCTCGCATGAAACCGTCGAAAGGAGCGTCGTCCTCGGGTGTCTCCCACTCTAGCTGCTCGGTGTTCACAAATCCCATCTTGGCCTTCGACATGCGCAACAACTTCTTGTTCCAGTGGATGAAGACAAGCATCTCCAGGTTCTCCGGGCTCAACAGGTTCCTCCTCTTCGAGTGAACGAGATCGAACGTGGACCAATTCATCTCACATGGAGAGGCTGTGGTCCACATGCTAAGCACTTCGACAACGATCTTCATCAAGGTTGGGTGCCTCTTCCCATAAGTCAACCACCACTGCGCCATAGACACGTGACTGCCCGTCAAAGCCTCCTCAGAGTTCTTCCCAATCCACTCCGGATCCATGTGATGAAAACTCTTAAGGGAGTTCCAACACTCTTTGTACTCCTTTGAATTCTTCGGGTGAACCGAAGCAAAGTGTGTCAAAGTGTTCATAATGTCCTCGGAATCCAAGTCGTCGAAGAGTCGAGGTGATTGGTGGAGCGGGTGCAACATCCAAGCCGATGCATGCACAGGTAGAGCCATCATCCGCACACGGTCTTTGACCTTGGCCATCACGAACTGCCTTGTCTCGTGATCCATGGGTAGCACGGCCATTCTCTTCTCCAACGTGATGCCCAACGACCACACCTGCATACCCATCCTCCCATCTCTGTCCATGTTCTTCATCAAGGTGTAAACGGGCTCAAGCAAGGTGCATGCCCTCTCCACAGTCAACCACCAACCAGGGTCTCGTATGAGCTCCTTGGACGACCGCGCCCGTGTCGCTGCTGTCCTGTCCCATGGAGAGTCATCCCACAGTGGGTTGGAAACAGTCAACAGCAACACGCCCTCACACTCCCGAAGACGCTGCAGCATGAGGAAGTTCATGCCAAATCTAGTCTCCCCCCGTTGGATCAGCTCCAACGGCTTCCCTTCTTTGATGTTCATTCGTGTCCTGTACTCCCTCCCACTTTTCCAAAACGTCGCCAACGCCCGCTGATGTCTCTTGATGAAGGTTGTGATCTCCGTGCCCTGCAGAATCACCTCCACGACCCATGACACCGAAGCAATGTGAGACATGAGCAAGTTGCACACATGGCACGCGCACGACACCCATGGAATGCTTCCAATGGTAGGGTCCTCATGCTAAGCCAAAATCTTCCTGGCAGAAATGTTGACCCGTGCTGAGTCGGTGCAGATGGCGTTGACCCTATGCTCCCCCAAACTCCCTTATGACCTCCTCCCACATCCTCGCCAAAGCCGGAGCCGACTTATCCTTCCCCTCCATGTCCACACTCCTCACCATGACGGCCTCCGAATCGCCGGCTGCAATGAAGTTCATGACCGGCCTGTTGCTGGTCGTTGTTGTGCCATCCGTCATCAAGGTGAGGCCTGTGACATCCCACGGCTCTCGGATCTTGTCCAAATCATTGTCCACCACTTTGTACTCCGCGGGCAGGGCCTTCGTCCTCAAGTAGTTGTACCCTGGCATTCGCAACATCTTCCTCGACCTCGCTGGCGGGTTCATGATCCTTTCCAAGTTCTTGTACGAGTCTGAGCGCGCGGCATTGAAGGCGATTGCATTCTCAAAGAAGAACGAAGCAGCCCCCTGGTCGAACTCCTTCTGCAGCTCATCCACCACGTTACTCGTCATGGACGACTGCTGCACACCCGATGGAGGTTGCGGAGAGCGAGCGGCAGCCAGAATGGGACCCCGCAGGTGGTCAACAATCTTCGACGGGAGGTCAGGCCCCCTGGAATCCGGAGCGGCTGTATAGGCAACAAAATCTGCCCTCTCCCGCCGTTGAATAGATGTTGAATCATAACCGACACCACTGCCTTGTCCCCCCGTTGAACCTGTGTCACGCCCACCGTCTCCCCCTGCCGACGATGTACCGGGCTCCCCCGATGCACCAGCTCCATCACCCAATGCAAGATCCTGCGGATCCTCAGCATCTGTCGGAAGGCCCTATAAAGCATAGTGCTCGTTCAATTTCGCCATCAGCGCAGGGAACAATTTCACCTTCGGGTGCTTGCTCTGAATCATAGAAAGAATCTCACCGGTGGTACGGGGACAGCGGGCATTGCCCGGCGGTTGGGTGTGGTGATTCACGACTTTGCTGAGCGTGCCGATTAACTCTTTGTTGCACACACTGCAACGCAACCTCCACGAGCTGTGCAACGTTCCGGTCGTCACCCTCTGGCCTCTCTTCTCCCATTTCCAAAGCTTCGAGTGGCTGAGCGTCCTTTCTCTGTCTGCAGCAGTCTCAGGCTCGAATGGTACTCGATTGCCTGCCATGGTCGTCGCAGTCGAGGTGGGTGGTTGGTAGGGAGAAGAAGAACAAGAAGAAGAAGAAGAAGAAGAAGAAGAAGAGGAAGAAGAAGAAGAAGAAGAAGAAGAAGAAGAAGAAGAAGGAGGGGTGGGAGGTGTGTGCCCAATGCCTGACGAATTTCCAAAAAAAAAAAAAAAAAAACGGAGGTGGGTGATGGTAGGAGGAAGAAGAAGAAGAAGAAGAAGAAGAAGAAGAAGGGG